GAATACCCCCGCTGGAGGCGGAAACTTCTCTCTGAGTTTCTTCAACGCCGAGGTTATTCGGGTCGGCATTTCCCCTGACTCCCTCATCTGCTCATCGAGAGCGTTAACACAGGAATTGGAGTCCCGTCTTTGTCGAACCCGGGGACCAGTCTGCAGTGCGCCTGAGTCATCGGCGTCGACTTCCGGAGACGTTGCTGAGTGAGTACGCTTCCTGGTCCCCCGAGTAGCTGGAGTGGCATCGGCCAGGGGCGGCTTAGGCTTTAGAACCGCGGCGGCGGCCCTAGTCTTGACCTTAAGTCGTATCGTTTCAATAGACGCAACGGAACTCGTTCTCTGACGAGTGCGGCTGAATGAGTCGTCCTGGTCATCATCGTGGGGAGGGCCACGTTTGGGATTCGAGAGAATAGGCAGCCGGTCTGGCCAGAGAACGCGGCCGCGGGAGGATTTCAAAAGAGGGTGGGGAGCTGACATGAGGGTCGTGGGCTTCGTCTGCGACTTTGCAGAGGATTGGCCGGCGGCGTTCATGAGGACGGAAGGCTCAGACTTCGTCGAGGTGGTGGGAGGAGGAAACCGCTCACCGAAGTGGCAGCGCCCGATTTTATGTCCCCACAAAGCAGCCGCGAGGCGTTATCAAAAAGAACAATGGGAAACAAACGAGTCATCTCGTACCGATGATCGACGCACATTTAGTGTGAGAAAGGTTCGGATTGCAGAAAGAAAACCATGATATGCGAAAACAAAAGGCCTTGTAATGCCCGCAAGCGAGGTCGTGGTGAGAGTTGGGAGCAAACGTGGAAGATCACCGCTCGCGAATCAACGCAACAGATCACCCATCATGTATCATGATCCGCCTGATGCGCCCAAGTTGAAATCATTGATTGTGTGAATTGACTCTACCGGGCGCGCTCCAGCCTTTGAACGGCTTCCGCTTCAGACACCACGTCTGCATACTTCGCATTGAGGTCAAAGAGATTGGCGTTGTGGATTTCGGGAGTGCGATCACCACAGGCCTCCTCAACTACCTAGAGGCAAGTCAGGCTAAGAACGGTTTGAGACGGAAGGCTCACCATAGGGCGATATCCATACTGCATCGCGTCTAAAACGGAGGCACGCACACACCCGCTCGTGCTCACGCCGCACACGACAACCATGTCCACGCCGAGGACATGGAGCCGGCATCTGGAAACACCTCCTGGCCACATAGAGGCCGGACCGCTATGTAGATCAACAATCACGGAGTAGCACCGGGTAGAGCCGCGGCATCTCTGTAGAGCGCCATAGCGAGGTCACCGCTATCTGGAACACGGTCTCTACACAGTCCTTCCCTCTCTACTTTGCCCTCTGTAGATCCATTTTCCCCATGAAGATCCAGGCTACAGCTGTCAATATTCTCAACCTTATAAGCCTGTCAACTTCCAAGTCGGCGAACACCTCTTTTCTCCCACTTCCATCTCCCTGGCCTCCCGCACTTCAAAAAGTGTTTCCACAAATTTACCTCAACCTCCACAAGAGCTCAAGCTCAAGATCTAATTCTCTTCAAGAACTCAAGGCCTCAATACGCTTTGCCTTCCCTGCTTCAAGTCCTCAATTCCCAAGCAATTCCCTCCTTCAAATCATGTTGCGACCGGAGCAATGCCGCATCAAGCTTCAACCTGGGTCTGAGGCGATACCCGGACTCTCCCTTCAAGTACTCAAGCTGGTTATTGGCCCGCTTAGTCGTAGTTTTCTTTTTGTAGTGTGTAGCGATAAAATGCAATTTTTTTACCATCTCTTGCTCTTCTCGCTTGGTTTCACATGTGATAAGCTGCTGATTGCGACGACAGATATCTCGTTGGCGAACCTAACCGGGATTTGCTATAGAAACAGATGATCTACATAGCTCTATGGAGCTCTATCGCTCTATGGCTCTACCGCGCTATCGCTCTACAGACCTCTTTGATAGAGGATGGTCCTCTTTAATAGATAGGTACATGCCTATGGACCTACTGTTCTATAGGCCTCTCCTAAGCTCTACCTAGACATGTGGTGTTTTGCAGATGGGGTCCTGAGATCCGTGCCAAAGAATGCGCTGGGATACTTCTTGACGATGACCACCTCCGACTCGGGAGCCGGAATGAGTCCGGCCGCGTCCACCCACCCTCCCCATCCGCGCTCGTCGCCGCGCTGAATATGTTCAGGTATTTGCTCTTGAGCCAGAACATCCCCGCGTCGCTCATGTCGGGTTGATTGTACTCGACGCGCGTCCAGATGACGGGGACGGAGCCAGCACGGGTAGCGTCGAGGAGACGCTTCATCGAAGCCGGGGAAGCGGCGCCGGCGGGGTTGCTGGACAGGTCCAAGGGGGAGGATTCGGCCCAGTGGGCGATGCATGCATCCACAATAAAGAGGGCGGGGCGCTGTCCCCACCCCATCCTGTTGGAGAAGTTTGAGCGAGCGTACGAGGCTGATTCAGTATGAGTTATGAGGTCCGTCATGAGAGTTCAGGTCAAGTTCGCTGATTGGACGATAAAGAACGTGAGATTCGTTGGAATCCGTGATGGGGCCGGGAGTAATTCAACGACGGCGGCAAAACCAAACTTAGTTGAACTTCGGAGGCTCAAAAAAAAGAAAAAGGAAAGGCAAGGAAACTCAGAAGCAATGGACCCGCGTCCGCACCATTAAACACTCTATTTTGATTTCGAATTCAATATTTGGGAGTGCTCTATGAACCTGTAGACGAGTAGTGAGATAGGGCTTTGACTGAGTTTTCCCCGGATGGCGGAGACTATCCAAAAAAAAAGTAAGTTCCATCATAGAATCAATGCAAAAAGTCCTCACCGGTGGACGAGTGCCTTCGGTCTGGCTCAAGTCGAAGTCGGTGTTTCTCCAATGCACCGACGTGATTGCGATGGGTGCCGCATGTGCCTCGATGCCAACAATTTTCGAGAATTGAGCCTAGTGATGTTTTGAACTAGTTTTCTTCGGGCTTACGTCGCAACCAGGGATATTGAACTGCGAATGAGAATAAGGATGGATGTAGACAGGTGTGACGGGAAGTCGGAACTCACTAGACTGTCGGAGGAAGGAAAGACTTCCATTAGTGCAGTAATGGTGCTGAGAAGGACTTACAACGCGCAAGGACCGTATAAAACGCGATGAATCCAAATGTCGTAGGTAAGGCGGCGAGCTTCGAATAGTTCAAGATCAGAAGCCCCGAAATTTGAACGAAGTTACCTACCATCACGAGCGAACAGATTGAGCAAAGACTGCAGATGAGAAAGGTCAATGGGCGCGAATAGCTTGAGCGACGAGATGATAAACCTCGTAAGGAGTCCTGTATTCAGCGAGAAGAGCATCAGGCGATTGAGGAGCGAATCCGTTTTACGGCTGTTAACCATGGATCGCTCAGTGATAAACAATGTCGTACCTTGGCTTCCCCGGCTTGGAAGAATGCAGCAAGTACACGAGGCAAATGGTAAGAGCCAAGTCCCCGACGGCCGCAAAGACATTAACCAAGTGACCGAGTGTCTCAACGATGGACGTAAATAACGAGGAAAACTTGGGAATTTGGACGACGGTACCGTTAGCCTCGGAAGATTTGCGAGGACGCTGTGATGTGGACTGCGGTTATTGTACTAGAATCTGGCCGTGGAACTACGGTCCAACTGCAATACAAATGTTGTACGTCCTCTAGAGGGAAATAAGCGGGCTAGAAGCGCTCTTTACTTCTACGCAATGATAATTTTATATGATGGTGGTGGTGTATACAGATTTCTCTTCTGCGAGTAGCAGATTTAGAGAAGGCGCTAGGTTCCTCGAGAGTTTGGTCTCTCGTTGGGGGCTAGCCTTCCGAGAAAGACGCGATGGGAGATTCTTCTACACTCGCGTGAAGGATTGGCGCTCTGCGATGTGAAGTACGCTCCTACTCGGTAAACCCGGGTATTGTGGTGTTTTCGTATCTCCTTGCTTCGTATAGGGCGCGCAAGCAGTTTCTTCAGAACTGGGTAAACGCAGCGCCGTCAGATTGTAGCGCGCTCCTTTGCAATCTGAATGATGGTGCGTGCGCGAATAGCCAGGCGCGAGGCGCCTTTCTAGCTAGTCGAGGGAAGTTCGCCGAATTGGATGGGGGAAATGGTATAGTCGAGTTGGTAAAAGGCGCCTTCTCGATAAATGCGCCCTACGCACGCAAGGTGTGCGTTATGGGTGCCAAAAGTCAACAGTTACATGCAGCCTGAGTAGGTCTGCTGGCTGTTTGGAGGATCGCACCACGCTTTTCTTCGACCGAACGCGCGCTTCAACACCTGTTATTTCCAACGTTTCCTCCCTTCTTGTCTAGGAGGTTTATCGCGCAGTTTCTATTCTGTACAACCGTGGTCAAGGTGACCCTGTTACCCCACTCTCGTGAAGGCACACTAATATATTTGATTTTGACAATGTACTGGATTAGCGCCTCCCGTTTTAATGGGAGCGCCTTTCCTTTAGCAGTATGCAGTGAAGGTAATTAGATTCCTTCTCCCTCCTTCGCGCTTTCCTTATATACCATTCCCTGCTTCCCCATTTGTTCATCTCCGGCGGCTTTTCTCAAAGCGCGCTCGCGCCCTTTTCTTCCAAACCGCGCCGGCTTCTCCTTTGAACAGCGCGGCGCCCCGCGCCGTTCTTCGTAGCGCCCCGCGCCTTTCCTTTAAACAGCGCTCAGCGCCTTTCCTTAGAATAGCGCCCCGCGCCTTCTATCCAAGCCGCGCCTGCGCACTCCTTTTTCCTGTCTTTTTCGGGTGGACGCTTCGTAAATATTTTCAATCGCGCCCTTTTTCAGAAGGCTCAAGTTGGAAGTTCGAGTTGTGTTGATACGGCCTAGTGGCGTAATGGTATCGCGCGCAGTCGTTATTGCAACGTTATTTCCTTTCACTGCGAGCTCCTCGTTCAATTCGAGGCTGGGCCTGCTTTTTGCTCAGTGCTTCTTCTTGTTGGCGCGTTCTTTTTGGTGGTTCATTAATAATCGTGCGCGACTCGTTTTAAATCACGGCCAGATAGCACAGTGTGGTTAGTGCGCGGGTTCTTGATGGGTTCAACGGAAATATTTAATCCGCTACCCTCGTTCGATTTGGGGTCTGGCCTTTTTAAAGCAGTAGCTTCGTTCAAGGAACGAAGCCACTCTTTTTATTTGCGAAAGCGCGCCTTTATCTTCTGAACCATTGTAAGTGCGCCTGTGGTTTCGAATGCGCGCGTGCCTTGCAGTCTTCGAGTGCGCCAAATACTGAGTGCGCGGTTAATGCTCCAAAAGTGCGCCAGTCCCGCGCCAGTGATGTCACTGTTGCAAAAGTGCGCCAGTGATTCCCATGTCAAGTGCGCCAGTGAGCATGCTTCGAGCCGTCGGCCTGAAAAGGTGCTTTCTGTTCTCCGTTGCAGGGCGTCTAGAGCTAATCACAAAGTGATAGCTCACAACGCCAAGGGACCATCTAAGCGACTGGTTCCAAAAATCTACCATAGCAATTGGAAAACACCTCACGTTTTGGAAAAATATACTGCAGGCGGGCCTTAGCAAGTGCTAACCAACGACGTCGAAAAGTTAAACCATACCGATGCTCAAGCACAGTTCCACCAAAATGAACGCTAGCTTTACCCCAATCAGTGCCTTGATTCTGAAAATCAAGAAGAAAGTGTACTATGAATGAAATCACCGGGATGTTGTGGTGGCTCACTGAAGCGACGAGTTAGGAGGGTTTCGAGGGCGAACTGTTGGGAGCCATACATTTCCATACTCTCCAAGCGAAGAAACTGAGGTCGGGGTAAGAGGGAATCTCGTACTAAATGGTGTGGTCGCGCACCTTTGGACGATGAAGGATATGAGCGCCTGACGAACGTCAGACTCAACGATCAGGGAAGAACTGGACGAACTCACACAGCGGATCACCTGGAGCTTGAGTGGGGTTCAGGGGCACGGAATGGGTGCGGGTGCTCTGATCTCACCAGTAAACTCCTGCAGGTGATACTGATTAGTAGGCTGGTTTCGCATTGGTGAGCATCCTACCAAACAAGTTGGTTCAGTTTCTCCGGAGCGCCGAAGTCCGTAATCAAATAAACATAAATCGCATGGGAAACAGCAATTTGGTGTAGGGTGTCCAGAAGCCTGTTCGGTCGGTGAGAAAGGAAGAGAATTTTGTGACTCAACAATCGCGCACAAAACCGTGTAAACCTGGACAATTTTCGGGGTGAGCAACGAGGGAACGAGGAAGAGCCGCGTCACTGACCATAGTCTGTATTTTCCACGAATCGGTGGAGCGATGCGACTAGACGCATGGCGAGAGTTCAGTTTCTGCGATGAGATGCAGTGTTGAAATTCACCGTGGTATACTCATACGTTTGCATCGCGCTGGTGCCCCATAGACTGAACCGTGTGAGCTGAGGGGAGGTGAAATGGGCATACTGTACTATTACGACCAATGGTTCAGGTGACGGGTGACAGAGGGTCATGAACTGAACCAATTTGGTGTAGGTGACGGTGACATTTGAATTTTGGGACTGAAATAGGGGCAAAAACTGTCAAAAAATCTCGGCCGGCAGGTGCCGGGGACTGCCGAGTGTCCATTTATGGTAATTTTTGCTGATTGCCGATCAATGAACCTCCTATCCAGTGAACCTTTGTGGTGACGGGTGACACCCCGTGAACCTTTGGTCGTAATAGTACAGTAAAAGGGACCCACGCCGCCGCGACACTGAGTCAGAGAATTAGCAGCGGAACCCCATACACAAGAATAGGGAACGAACAGAACTCCGATGAAATCGAGACCAAACTGAACAAAAAGCAGTCAATCTCCACGTGTAACATTCCAAACAAATGGACGTGCTCACCGTCGAATCAATGCGGGGCAGCAGAGGAATACCCATGGTGGCGCCTTCAAGGGGATATGAAATTACAGGGAATCAAGTTAAAATGCCTTTAAATACCCACACTCCAGGGGCTGATGGCTGTTTGGGACCAAAACATCGGATCCAAACATGTTTTCTTTTTGGTTCACTGTTTGGGTCCAAGTCAAATACAAACCAGAAATAAGCCATGTTTGGGCACCCAATTGACCAGCAAACATACACCATTTTTCGAACCCAAATGCTCACAGAAAATCCGATATGTTCCCCAAATCTTCTGGAACCAAAAATCAACCTGTTTGAGCTTGAAACAGCAGAAGAACAATGAGATTTGGCATGTTTGTGCCCCAAACCAGAGGGTTTTTCCGGCCCAAACTGACACTAAACATCTTACATGTTTCGGCAAGTTTTAGGTACTCGAACATTCTTGAATTTGAGAGTTAAAGATGATCCACAAATCAACTATGTTCGGTTCATTTTTGAGCAGGCTCCAAAGGTCGTGCTGAACAGAACACATGTTTGGAAGCCATGTTTCGGGCCCAAAAATTCATCCACCCCAGGAGTGCCAAATTGCCCGCCCCGCCAATCATACCCTAGCTGTCACTAATAATCCGGACCCACATTGGTGACTTCGTGATTTCCAGTGCGCTGGGAACGGGTACACCAAAGTGAACTCGAACGCATAGAAATAATGTGAACGGAGACTCGGATGGTCGAAATCTTCTGCATTACCGCTATACCCGGGAATTCAGCATGAGAGAAATTGCAAATTCCCCAGAGCTGACGCTGATAAGCTCCGCAAGCATCTTGGCTATGATTGTTGGGTGCCCACTTGGACCCACTGCTCGTCAGGTGGAGAGCGCTGAATCATCCAGAGATGTCCCAAAACCGCGGCCCCCGATAGAAGCTGAGGTCGCTTAAAAGCTGGGCCTGGTTCTACTCCAAAGGGCAGACAATGTCCCTCCCGCTCATTCCGCTTGCGCTCCTGGCCGGGATATCCTGGTGTCTAGGCGGAAGGCGCCACTTCCACCCGGCCCTCGTGGACTCCCTCTCCTCGGGAACGCGTTACAGTTGCCGCTCGAGAAAGCCTGGGTGACCTATGACTCGTGGGCAAAGCAGTACGGTGAGGAGAAAATGGAAAGCCGTACCACATTTCTAAGCCTTTTGTAGGCGACATCATGCATGTCTCCGCTTTCGGGCAACACATTATTCTCTTGAATTCTGAGGAGACGGTGTTCGACCTACTGGAACGCCGCAGTGCCATTTACTCAGATAGGCCACAGCTCACCATGAGTGGAGTTTTGTGAGGCTGATCGTTCTGACGAACATTCGAAGAACCGCTGGAAACAGAATAATAGAGTCGGATGGGGTGACAGCGCGCCGATGTGCGCCTACGGAAATCGGCACCGGGAATACCGGAAGTTGATGAACGAGGTTCTGGCGCCGCGCAAGGTGCAGGAATACCATGCCATGGAACAGGAGAAGGCTCTCGAGTATCTCCGGCTCGTCATGAAGGAGCCCACAGAATTTTCTGCCCATGCAAGACGGTAAGGGACGCTATCTTCCGCATCTAACCATTGAACCACTGACACAGACTGGTTTCCGCGATTATCTTCGACATTTCGCATGGATATACGGTAGATGAGAAGAATGACCCAATGATGGAGCTCGCGGAAAGAGCTGACCAGGAGTTTGCCCTGTCTGTGATTCCTGGTGCCTATTTATGTGATGCTCTGCCGATATGTGGGTCAACATCATCCTGGGTTGTTCGGAAATTGATGAACGATCACAGTGAGATATGTTCCCGATTGGACGGGGGTACGTTTCAAGAAAGATGCCAAGCGATTCCGAAAAACAATGGAGTCACTGAGGGACGGGGCCTACGAGGATGTGAAAGCGCAAGTGGTTAGTCATAGCCGCCAACATCCGGATAATTTGGCGATCTTACCTGCGACATCCAGATGAAAGGAACTGCAAAGGCTTCGTTCGCCCAAGGCCTGGTTGAGCGTAATCTCAATCCCACGCCAGAGGAGGAACTGGTCCATAAGTGGGCGTCGGTAGGATTGTACGGAGGTGCGTCTCGATGGCGTCCTTGCTGTGCTCGAGCATTAATATTTGAACCTAAGCTGGTACAGATACAGTAAGCGCCATTCTGTTATTGTTATTCGAAGTACTCCTCCTTGTAGACGTTCTCGGCGGTCGAATCGTTTTTTGTCACAATGTCACTCCATCCTGAGATTCAGGAGCGGGCTTACATGGAGCTACGCAACGTAGTGGGATCGACGAGACTTCCCCAATTCAACGATCGCGCAGAACTTCCGTACATCAATGCAATACTCCAGGAGGTCAGTAAAAGCATGGGCTTTAGTAGTGAGTGAGCATATGGAGCTCACCCTCATTCAGATCCATAGATGGAACCCCGTCACCCCTTTGGCCCTCCCTCATCAACACACACAGGATGATAATTACCGCGGTTTCCGTATACCTGCAGGTGCCATTCTTTTCGCGAACTCTTGGTTAGTTTTTAACTGGGTGGTCAATGGGTTTACCTCACCGACTCCACAGGGCAATACTCCACGACCCTGCGGTGTATCCTGACCCCTTCAGATTCAACCCCGACCGTTTCTCCCTCCGTCGGACGACTCGAAGCTAAACCCAGATCCACACCGTTACAATTTCGGCTTCGGGCGTCGGGTGTGTCCGGGACAGCACCTCGCAGATGACGCGCTGTTCATGGCCATCGTGACAACCCCTCACTGTATTCCACATAGCACCGGTGAACAAAAACAAGACGGCGAAAGACGTGGAGTATACGTCGGCAATTATCAGGTTTGTCGATGGTCGGTTGAGGGGAGGCGATTACTCACGGAAACATACAGCCATCCGAAGGAAGTGGATTGTATTTTGACGCCACGGTCGCAAGAAGCCAAGAGGCGTCGAAGATTCTTATCGGACACACTATCAACACACACCCAGAATGGAATTCTTTTAGGCTTGATTAAAACACTAGTGAAAGTAACTTCTATTGATAGGAAAATACATCGCAGTCAAAATAATGTGAATCAAGGACGTAAAATAGACTTCCTAAAGCAAGAGGATTTGACTGCAGCTTTCTGCAACGAGAAGTCAGCTTGAATAAAACATGGAAGAAAGAACTCCCAAACCTTGACAAGTTTATTGCCAAATTCAACAGAATTGATTTGTCTTGAAACAATTCTGTGTGAAAGGGATCATGAAAGGTGAGGTTTCAA